CACTGAGGCATCTCTCTAGCTCCTTGCTTAAGTCCCTGCCCTGAATCCCAACAATGAATTCCATCCTGCAAGTGGAAATAAACTCTGTCCTTTTCTCTGGTCAAAACAAACAGAATGAAACCATAGCACTTACAACAGCCAACTGTACAGGGAAGTCTGCCTATGACTCAATGAAAGCTAGAAACCCCTCACCGACCAGAAGATTAGTTGGGGAAAGGGAGGCCCAAACCCATTGGATTTCAGAGTTATAAGACTGTGGGTTGGGGTCCTCAATCTGCATCACTGCCAATGGAAAAAATCCACATGGGAAAGATATGGACCACCACTCCAATTAAACCAATACTTTCAAGATTGAGTCTTTTAAGTTTTTGGAGTGTGATCAAGAGCAGGTCAATACCTCAGTGTTTCTTGGTGTTGGAGCTCCAGGGCAATGTTTTTAAAAGCAAAATGGCACAATTACATCAATCTTAGACAAGGGTCAGAGTAACCCCGATAGAACCTAATTATTCCAGACACAACATAACAATTAATTTTGATTTATACCTTTTCTGTTATTTTAGTTTGTTTTGTTTGTATAATCATTACTTATTTTTTGGTTAATACATCTGGACCATGGTCAGGGTTATGGAAATCCCAAATGTGTTGTCAAGACAGACCTGCCGTCATGGGGCAGGGAGTAGTGTGCAGACTTAGAAATGGAGTCAGGGCAGCTCAGCATGCCGTTAACTTTTCTGAGTGTCATGATTTGGGAAACAGAAATTATATCTGTTCTGTTGATTTAATTGACTTTTTTGAAAAGAAAAAATAAAATACTCCATTGAAATTGCTTTATGAATGACAGATGCACAACAGTTGTTATTGTGCCACTTAACTGGGACACATGGTGTGTTTTATATGATCCAGTTCATATAGTACCCTACTTATCTGGGTATAACAATTTTTCTTTGTTGAGATAGGGTAGCACTTTGTAGCCCTGGCTGGTCTGCAACTCATTATATAGACCAGGCTGGACTTGAACTCGGACTGTAGGGTAAAAGGGTCAGCTAAAGACCCCCATACTGGCCCTGAAACCAGAGCCAGTGAAAGAAAACCACCTTGACTCTTAACCCAGAGACAGTGAAACACGTTAGTCCTGAACCCAGAACCACAGAAACACACCCTGACCCTGTAACCAGAGCCAAAGAAACACACTTTGGCCCTGGAACCAGAGTCCGTGGGAAGAAAAAAAACAAAAAACAAAAAAAAAAAAAAAAAAAAAAAAAAAAAACCCCAACAACAAAAAACATCCTGGCTCTGAAACCAGAGCCAAAAGGTTAAAAAGGGCCAGTGAAAGAAACACTTTGACCTTAAAAACCAGAGCCACATCTGCCACTGACCAATTGAACATGAAACCAACCAATCCCTGAGTTTGTCTAAGCTTAAGGGGACCAAAATCTGACCAATTCCTTCCCTAGAAAAACTCCACCCCTAAGAAGCCCTATGTAAACCCCTCTGCCTGTTGTCAGCAGTTCTCATCCACCCTAGCAGAAGCAGCCACTCTCCTGGATTCCTCCTTCGCAAAAAATCTCTCTCTGGAAAGAGTTTTGAGTGAAGAAGACCTTCTGCCAGCAGGGAGCAGACCCTCTGCTGGAACCTTCCTTAGCAGGGCAGAGCAGAAGAAACCAATACCTCTACTGGGAAACTCCCTTTGGAGGTGAGCAGAAGTAACTCTTTGCAGGAGCTGGAGTAGATAGATTGCTACATATCTGCAGGGGTTGCAGCTTTAGCAGAATGAAGCAGAAGTAGGTGTCCAGAAAACCTTCCCTTCACAGCTGTAGGTGTAGCCTGACTTCCTGACACCTTTCCCTCCAGAGCACTTGCAGAGACCCCTCCCTCTGCTTCCTAAATGCTAGGATTAAAGGCATGCACCACCATGTGTGGCCCTGTTTTGTCTTCCCTAGGTTGGAAGTCAGCTAACTCCAGGATCCTTTTGTCTCATTTCCTGGTGGCTGAGGTTACAGGAATTTAAGAGACCACACAGCAGGCGGTTAGCTAGGTACTAGGATTCGAACTCAGCTTCTCATGGTTGTGCAGCAAGCAAGTGCTCTTAAAGAAGAGCCATCTCTTCAATGCATTTTGATTATAAATCCAATGGGAGAGGAGTGAAGGCATGGCAGCAGGACAACTGAGAGCTCCCATCTCAAACCCTAAGCAGGAGGCAGAGTATACTGGGGAGGCAGGGAGTCCTTTGAAAGCTCAGAGCCCACACCCCCTCCAAGGCCACACCTCCCCACAGTTTCCACCGACTGGGACCAAATATTAAAACATGAGTCTATGGAGGCCATTCTTATAGGAATTACCACAAGGAGTATGTCACCATAACCACAGGCATGATAAACTTTCCATTTTTCCTTGCATTCAAAAATGTATGACTTAGAACTTGCTACCAAAGTATGTTTGCCCTGCTGAAGACCAATGGCTATTTGCTAGAGACTCACAGCTTCTTTTGTCATTGTCTGACAACTATGCACCCACCACTTTTTAAGTACTCCACTTTAAATTTTATTTTAAAACAAGCAAACATATTTTCAACATATCAATTATGCTTTCATTTATATTTCTGTTTGTAGGCATTGACGACAGGATGCAGACCCAACCCAGCGAAAGTACTTAACAGTGGTAGATGTCAGTCCTGTGGTCAGAGTGGCCACAAGGTGAGAGAGGTCAGCTGGCTGTCCAGGTGGTCACTGCATCTTCAATGCGGAGGATTCAGAGGTATGAGTTCTCTTGTGAGAGCATTGAGGACCCAGCCAGGCCGCCCTGAACTTGCACAGAACACAATCACAGAGCAGAGGGCTAATCTATTAGTTCATAGGGACCATTTAAGTGGATCAAGTTGTTGTTTAGCAGAACCCTGAATTTAGAGGAAAAGATGAATGGGGTGGTCACCATCCAAGAGCATGCCGTGCTGTGTCTAGCCCTGTCAAATCTGTCCATCCAATCAGGGTGCTATCTTGCTTGGACAATGCCAGAAAACACTAGGAAAATAACCTAACACTCCTAGTTTCAACATTTTGTGTTGGTCACCAAAGAGATCAGGGTTCCTTTCCTGTTCAGAGCATTCTATGCTGGATCTCCTTTAATGTGGGTACCCTTAACATCCAGATTACCTTTATGAATACTGAGGAAATATCCTAGGTCTAGTATCTCCATCATGATTACAAACTTTCTGGGTAGATTATATTCTATAGGTATTTGCAGAAGAGCACTAAATCTTGCCAATGTCTGTAATAAAACCTTGGAATCTTGGGATATACCCTTTTGAGGACAGTAAGCCTCATCATATTCACTACACAGCTAGGGCCATCAGAGTAAACACACATGTGTATATTTACATAGAGTAACCAAATACAATTTCCACACTATGATCACAACACAAGGGATAGACACTAAGTTTGGTATTTTACTATGCAACAAAACTGTCACTGAAAGGTGAGACAGCCAAGGGACTATGCTCCAAGTGGCAACTGAGTCCCCCAAGAGTATTTTCAGAAAACTATGAGGGTTTGCTGGAGTACATAAAAAACATTAGAAAATCAACCATGTGACAGATTCTTCAAAGAAAGTACTTTTCAAATCCTTAAACAACAAAAACAAAACAAATCAAAAAGACCCTTGATGCCAGGTAGTGGTGCCAGAGGCAGAGGCTGGTGGATCTCTGTGAGTTCCAGGACAGGCTTTAAAGCTACAGAGAAACCCTGCCTCAAAAAACCAACAAAACAAGACAACAACAAAAACCAACAACTCCTTTGAGCTGGAGAGATGCCTCAGCTTAGTGGTGAAGAGCACTGGCTGTTCTTCCAGAGGACTCGAGATCAACTCCCAATACTGACATTGCTGCTCATCCCACACCATCTTCTGGCCTACCATGGTGTAGACATACATGCAGACAAAAGGTCCATATACATAAGACCAAATTGTTAAAACCAAAAACAACCCCCCCCCTTCTTTGAGGCAGGGTTTATATAGTGCTATCTGTCTGAGATGCCAGGCATTGCTGCTGTGCTCAATTGAGAGTTGTTTTGTAAATAGTGTAAATACTTTACAATCTGCAGTCCTATGACTCACTCTTCCTAGTTCAGTGCAGCGCAGGTTAGAACAGTCTCATATGCTGCACTGCCTGAGGCAGAAGGCAGGTGCCTCCCTCGCCTCGCCTCACCTCACCTCACCTGCCCACTCTGCTCCACCAGCTCTCCCTGTACCGTGGCCTAAAGACTGCATTCACAACAGGAGCTACCAATTTGTATGTTAATAGTCAGCTCACCAATTAGGTTAGAATGCAAGCTGTTGTTTGAGAGGAGGTGCTCATACTAGCCAGGCTGGCCTAGAACTGTGCCTCCAGGGGTTGGGATTGTAACAGCATACACTGCCAACCTAGTACAAACAAGGGTTAGTAAAGAGGTTCCTCTGTCCCATGAGACCATGACTGTGCTGCAAACTCATCCCTCAGTCACACCCCTCGTTCTGAGAGAAGCTCCGAGATGCAGCAGCTAGGCCTGAGGCTTCTAGAACATGGGGCATGCTCTGTGAGGTGAGGCTAAGCAAGAGGACTGGGAGGAAGCAAGGAAACCGAGGCTGGGCGGCCATGCCTTTAGATCCAGAGACGAGGATCTGTGAGTTGAGACCAACCTGATGTACAGAGTGAGCTCCAGGACAGGCTCCCTGTCTCAAAAACAGAACAAAAAAATTTCTAGATGATAAATGCAAAACAAAATAAAAAAACCACAAAGCAAAACAAGTTAACCCAAACAAGAAAAAATTCTAAATAATAATAAAATCTCCTTAACATTCCCTGTCCTAAACTGTACAGAAGTTTAAAAAAAGTAAAAAAAACCCAAAAAACAAATTACAAATTAATCCCCATCCCACCCCCAAAAAGGACCCCCCCCCACCACATTCCTGAATATAAAGTGCTGGTTTCTTGCTTCAGTTTTGAACAAAAGTATCACAAAACCATCATCTATTCTATTGACCTTTCTGGTCAGATCATGTATTTGGGTCCACATTGATGTGCAAATTAACATAACCTTTCAAGTTTTCTAGCTAGTGCAAATGAAACCCCCATAGTGTACATTAGGGATATTTGATTTATATTACAGATGAGAATTGCTTTCTGACATGCTGGTGGAAGAACTCAGCTTACAGCACAAATAGGAACTTTTCTGAGTCAGGCTATGCTACACCCGGGTACACAAATGTTCAAAAGGCAACTACTACAGACTTTCATACTCTAAAAAAATAAAATAAATAGTTTCACTATAAAATTCTTATAAATATCAGCTACATTACAGGTTCACAGCTGAGAGTCACAGAAAATTTAAGACATTTAAATTCAGTGACCTTACTACTGGACAACTTCTATTCTAGATAGAAGTACCTCTGACTCTACTAAATATAACAAAGCACTGGAAACTACCTGTCTAAGACCTAAAGGAGCTGCCGGGTATTTGGTGTTGAAGTCACTAAGTTCATGAGGCATAAGGGATGTATAAGGGCAGAAAAAGACAAGAGATGCAAAAGCAGATGGTTCATAGTTTTTCCTGAGAACATGTAAGTTATGTTGCTGTTGAGACAACTTTAAACAGGGTAGACGATCTTGTGGTGAACCAGGGTATAATTATGGACACCTGGTAATGTAAGCTACTACTCTCTAATATATAACTTGCAAATGCCAAGTCTTACAAACTGTATTCAAACAAGGCACATGCCTATACATTTACTTGGAATGCAGGATGAACTAGTGTCTAAAAGTGTGAGCTATAGTAAAACAATACTGCTATGTTTTGTGATGCGGTATTATGAAAACTACAGAATAAAAATCTGGTGAGTAAGGCATCAGAAAAACAACACGGTATGTCGGGGGTGGGGGGGTGGGGGAAGGGACATAGCCTGCTCTAACTAGAGTATCTCTGAAATTACCCTAATTATTTTGATTGATAGCCCCAAATTAATGATTTACTTCCACTACAAATGAGCACTATGAACTATAGGTAAATTTAAGAGTGTGCCTCAGGGATGACATCTTAACAACCCTGACCATGAATCCAAGGATGAATTTCATTACGCTCCAAACAGGATTCACTCCCAAGGGAAAGCTGCAAACTCCTGCACCCTAGGCTGCAATTATCCAGTGTAAAGGCCTATGAGCAAGCTGCGACAGACCCATGGAGCATCTGTCAGTGGTACAATTTGGCATCACCTGGGAACAGGTAGAAGAGGTTAATGTAGCAGTGAAAAATTATTTTACTGCATTGTCCTTTCAAAAACATGGCCTAGCCTGAGGTGATTCAGACTGGTTTATGGCAATTCACTGACTGTAGATTCATAATAAAACATTAAAAGGGAGATAAATGGTGGTTTTGGGACTAGATTCTAGTCTTGTAAAAATTAATTCATGCAAGACCACCAAGTGCAAATATGCCCTTTGTCAGAAGCACATGGGACTAGATGCCCACTGGGTGTGGCTAACTGTAGAGGCAGGCCACTGACAACAGCGGCAGAGCACCCTCTAATGGAAAGCCGTGGAACTGCCTTCTACTTTGCAACAGAGGGTGGAGGTGCAGTGAAACAAAGCTTTGTGACCCCAAGTTCATCATGTGCCCCCCCTTTCCAAGTCTGAGGAATGATCCCAGTGAGTATATATGCCATGGAAACCAAGGGAGAGTTCTCTGTGACTGTGATCACAGACTTATGTGACCACTTCAGTAGACAGAACTGTACACTACAGTGTAAACACTAACACAAGGATCATGCCACCAGGTTAATAATAAGTTAAAATGGGTATCTTTCTCACTCTGAAAATAAATATGATAAACATCTCAGCAAAGCTTCCCTCTCCAAGGGTGATGCTGTCAGACCCACAGCGTTTCACAACCCAAGACCACTCACCTGACCCAAAAGCAGTCAGCCTAGACTTTTTTTTTTGTAATTAAACTAACTCGGAAGTTTCCCTTATGTCTATTTTTTCCCCACTATCTTTTAATCAGTAGAGAAGCTGGCAAATTATAGAGCTTTCAATCCAAAATGTTCTTAATCTTACCTTAGACCCATCTATGTATGTATGGTGCTGGGAGTATAGTTCATTGGTAGAACATTCATCTAGACTTTCTCTCAGAGGACCTAGGTTCAATCCCTACTACTGCCCAAACAAAAACAATTAAAAAGATTTTTGCATTTCAGCTCAATATGGCCATAAAATACCCAGAAGCCTAAAAATGACGACAGAAATTACACTACTGTGAAAATTCTCAGTATAGTCTCTCCTCAGGGGCTCCTAGAAATCAGGATGTAGGGTCCATTTGGTTTGAGGTGTGGGAAATCTTAGGAAGCACACTGCAGGAGTAAGCTCAGCGTTAACTACAGCAGTTCAAAAAGCAAGTTAATTTTTAACATGTTATGTTGTCTCTGTATCAAAAACTAAGAGGGAAATGATTTTCTTCATCTACACCCTGTATGTCAAATATGTCACTTAGGACAGTGCATACTGCAGAGTAAGCCCCAGTCTTGAAACATTCAGTCAGGAGAAACATTTCATCTTCTTGCAACCTTTTGTGTTTTTTTTCCCAAGATCAGAGAGGATCTTGCTGATAAGAGTATGTGTCTGTGAGACCGAGGTCTAGCTGTGGAAACCTCTGCATAAGCTCACACCATTATACGAGGAATGAAATGAAGACTGGCGTGCTAACAGTACTTCCTGTGGGCGACCATGTGTCTACTGGCGTGGGCAGATGCCGTGGCAGCTTGTCCCTCCCTCTACTCGGTGTCCTTTAGGTCCTCCTGATCTGAAGCGCTTGAGATGTCATCATCCGACTGCTCTCCAGAGAAGTAGAGCATCAAAGCGTGTGTCTTGTGCGTTATGGTGACAGTACAGGGTCCCTGGGCCCATGGCTCCCCATCCACCTGCATCGGCATCATTGAGCACTTCAAAATCAGCTGAATTAAGAAATAATTAGAAGAATGTCAGTGCTAGAAACTGGCAGGTATTTCTATCCCCCACTATCTCCCATGGGTCCTTTAACCTTTGACATTAAACAAAAACTCATGTGAATGTATTGATGGGAGATGTCTTTCTGTATATGTTTCTCATACTGGTTAATGAATAAAGCACTGTTGGCCAATAGGAAAGCTAGATAGGCGGGATTAGGAGACAAGGAGGAAAGAGGAAGTAGTAAGGGGGAGTCAAGATGGAAGACAGGGAGAGAACGCTGGCGGGCTCTCCGGTAGGTAAGATAAGACCACGTGGAGATTAATAGAAATAGATAAGAAACTAGTACTTGGCCAACAGCATTATATCTAATACAGAGTCTCTGTGTGTTATTTGGGGCAAGGCAGCAGGACAAGACTAGCAGCCAGTGGAAAAACCTACTCCTTACAAGGTATCAAAAGACTATTTAGGGAGTCTCTGCAGTGGGCGTTTTATTTAACTGGCCAGCTTCCTACAAGCTCCTGCTATAGTCTATAGAGATGAGAGGAAGTGACAGGTACATGCTGCTTCTCCATATCCATGGCTTGGAAACAGCCGGTTACCTACCCGCACTGTATGTGCTTGTCCTATTCGAAAAGGATTTGCCAGTTTCACTTGGATTTGAGCACAGTGGAAAGACCCATACACTCCAACGACTTCCAGTAAACCATCATCATGCCTAAGATTGGAACAAGAAAATATGGCTTACAGAATGTGTAAAATCAAATTATCCATGGAAAGCAAAGCAATTACTCTTTTAAGTGGGCCATCTATTTATTTACTTACTCATTTGTGTTTATTCATTTATTTACTTATATATGTGATTAAAGGCATAAAGCCCACCACACCCTATTCCACCAACTTATTACTGTCCATGTTAACATGTATAGGAGTGAAAACTGGAGGGAAATATGAAAGTTTACAAAACAAAACAAAAACCCAAAACAAAAAATCCCAAACCTAAAAACCCAGAAGACTGGGTGTAGTGACCCACATCTTTAATCCCAGTACTTCAAAGCAGAAGCTATGAGTTCAAAGCCAGCTTGGCCTATCAGGTGAGTGTCGGGATACCAGAGCTACATAGAAACAAAACAAAACAAAAAACCCAAAACCGACAAAAAACTGAGCCCTTTAAAGCCATGTGGAACCCAGACTGCAGCTCTAGGGAGGCTGCAGTGGGAAGACCCAGCTCCAGCTCAAGGCTAACAAGGTTCACACAGTGAGACCTTATATCAAAACCAAACACTTCCAAACCAATCAGTCAACTATACTACAAACGTACATACCTGGCTAAAGGGTAAGTCTCGTCTCCCATTCCTTCCCACAGTCTGCAGCCTCCACCCCAGTATCCAATGTTCAGAACGATAATACCTTCCAAATTAGGCAGTTCAACTCGCTCACCATCCAGTTCTAGCTTTAAAGAAATGTAAGCAGTTAGTTACTACTGGGCACCCTATTTCCACATCTATCTATTTACTTAGAACTCAGACTTCAATATGCATATTCACAGCTGTGAGACATGTCTGAGGGGAAGACAACTCCTCATACTCAAGGTAATCTGGCTGTTCCTACTCTTTAGCACTATGGACTAAAAAAGATTTATTTATTCACATATTTTATGTATTTTAGTGCTGTCTTCACATACACCAAAAAAGGGAATCAGATTCCATTACAGATGGTTGTGAGCCACCATGTGGTTGCTGGGAATTGAACTCAGGATCTCTGCAAGAGCAGTCAAGTGCTTTTAATCACTGGACTCTCTCTCCAGCCCATGGAATCAATTCTTAATTAGTTTATTCCTGGTGTATGTGTGTACAAACACATGTGCTGAGGTCCATCTCGGGTATCACTCCCTAGGCTATCCACCTTGGGTTTTGAAAGTGTCTGGCTCTTATTATCTTTTTAACTTGGGTTCTGGAGATTACTTTACGGTCCTCACTTGCACTATAAGTCCTTTAACAACTGAGCTATCTTCTCAGTCCCAAGTGGAACAGTTTTTATCAAGTTATCAACAACATCCCTTTGTCCTAATCTTTACTACCCTGCCATTTTTTTTTAAAAAGATTCATATATTTTAAAAAGTTTATGTGTAGCCGGGTGGTGCTAGCCCACACCTTTGATCCCAGTACTCAGGAAGCAGAGGCAGGCAGATATCTGTAGGTTTGAGGCCAGCCTGGTCTACAAAGCGAATTCCAGGACAATTCCAGACCCTGTTCTGAAAAACCAAAAAAATCAAAACAAAATAGAACTTTATGTGTAGTGTGAATTCCGACACATGTCTATTCCACCTACATGACTGCTGCCCAGGGAGGCCAGAAGAGGGCTTCAGACACCCCTGGACTAGTTACTTGTGCTTACTCTGTACAAAATCGTCAGAGAAAACACAAGGAAGACACCTTACGTTCCTAAACCAGGAGGCTGGCACTATCTGCACTGTGTTCCCACTGCAATCAAGGGGAAATCACAGGGCACTGCCGGTCTTGCATTCCTGACAGTATTTTGTGGAAACTACCACCTCCCCTGCAAATGTTTCTAACAGGCCATGAACTTGGCCTCACTCCTGTCTCATGTACCCTATACATCACCTGGCACCACCAACACATCACTCCCTCATTATAGCCTTCACTGGCTTGCTTATCCTGGCACCTGAGGCAAAATTCAAGTTCCAAGCAGGCTGCTATGATAACCCCTGGGTTGGCCTCTGTCTGGGTGCCGTTAGCCTTGGCTCTCGCCCTCTTCCTCCCTGCAAGCCATGTTTTACATTGAAGCTCTTATAAGCATCTGGGCTCTGTAGGCTCTGGGTCTCACCTCCAGCACTACATTCAATAAAACTTTCATAGACAGTCTTGTAATCCCTTCCCTGCTGGGTGGCTTCTTGGAAGGGTTTATTGGATGGCAGCGTCTTTCTGGGCTAGTGTATCAGGATTCTTACTGCATGCTCATGCTATCCATTCTTTCTCCTTATTTTACAAGCGTTTTGGGTTTCTCTGACTAATGTCTTTATTGTTGTTATTAACATTACAGATTCTTTCTAGAAGCAAGCAAGATAACAAGATTACTATATGTGAGGTCAGGAGCCTGTAGCAGCACACAATCAACAGATGAGCCAGCACTGTGTTAGGAACTTTGAATTTGCTATCAGTCAGCTTACCAGTTGAATAGATTCTGGAAACAAACCAGGGTCCCAGTTGTGACTACTAGTTCCTGTGGCCATGAATTATGTCACTTAGGAATTACTTAATTTCAAATGGTTTTGCTTTCTCTGGGAATATAGGAATGCTTGACATATATGTCTGCATTGAAATTTAGAGGAGTAATGAGTATAAAGAATTTAGTCAAGCAGAGGCCATCAAGAGATAGCTCCCTGGTTAAGAGCAACTGCTACTCTCATGAAAAACCCAGGTTCAGTTCCCAGGCACTCATATGGCAGCTTACAACTGTCCTGAACTCTAGCTAAGGGGATCCGGTGCCCTCTTCGAGTCACTAAAGTTACCAGGCACACAAGTGGTGCATTTACATTTATGCAGGTGAAACACTCATATACATAAAAAACAAATAACAAACAGCTTAGGCAAATGTATGGCAAAGGAATGGGCACTTTACATCCATGATCAAAGTATGTTTACAGAAAACTCAGCATTTGTTAAAGAACTTCAGAATCCAGACAACACACATGCCTTTAGAAAAGACACTAGTAGCTTACCTCAATTTTTTTATTCAAATCTTTACACTCTTGCACTAAACAATCTTTAGTTCCATAGAATAAATAAACAGCCTATGAAAAGAGACAAAATACAACATTAAAACATCAAGAAGACACTATAACAAAGCTCCTACTATGCTGTAAGCCATTGCTTCCCATGTGGCCTGGATACTAAAGAACAGAAAAAAATGGAGATGCCTCTGGCACACAACCCCATTTCATACCCTTTCAACTCAGCATCTCATTTTATCATGCAACTGTGGTAGGAGAATTCTAGATGAACTCTGGCTGGGACAAATAAACTGTTAACTGCTTCTCTCTTTGGAGACAGGGTCTCAGGTAGCCCAGGCTGGCCTAGAATTTGATACATAGCTTGAACTCCTAATCCTCCTGCCTCTGCCTCTTGGGTACTGAAATTACAGTTGGTTGACTGTCACCATACCTGGTTTCATGAGGTTTTGGGGATTAAACCTAGGGCTATATGCATACCACACAAGGGTTCGACAAACTGAGCAGCACTTCCAAACCCTCTCTTTTTCTCTGATAGGGTCTTGCTATGTAATCCAGACTGATCTTGAATCTGTGGTGATTCTCCTGCCTCAGGTCTCCCATTCTGTAAGAATTACAGAATGGTCCTTCTCTTTAGAAGGTGACAATAAAATCCATTATTTTTTGGTTTAACTAGTGTTTTTCAGAGGAAATGTGGGATATGGTTGGGATGGTTTTTAAATAGCATAGACTCTTGAATTATCCAAAAAGTATGTTTTACAAGACTATGTTGAAGAAAATTCTACTTTTTCTCAGTACTCCAAATAATTAAAGGAAAATGCATATAAATCTAGCAAACATTGCATAAACACTTTTGGATGTAGAAGGGTTGATAGAAGAAATGAAGTTGCCAACTGTATAAATAGCAATCTTTATTGTCTTAGTAATATCATTAAAAAAATTTATTTTATATGTGTGGGTGTTTTGCCTTCAATGTATGTCTATGCACCACATGTGTGCTTAGTATCTACAGAAATCAAACAGGGCATCTGATTCTGTGGAACTAGAGTTAAAGATCATGAGCTGTCATGTGGGTGCTGGGAATCAAATCTTGGTCCTCTGCAAGAGCATTCAGTCATCTCTACTGCCCCATCCTGACTTAGTAATATTATTAATAAAATGGAACTATTGTCTGTGAAGGAAAGCTCTCCCTGAAAACTGTGATAATTTTTTTTTTTTTTTTTTTTTTTTTTTGCAGCTATTGGATCCTGTAATGGTTGCTGCTACAATGTCTTCTTCTTCTTTTTTTTTTTAAATTACCAGTCCCACCAGTGATTACTGGAATACAAAGAGAGATTTCAAAATGGCCTGTATGATTAGTATAACTACTAATACAATAGCAAAAATATCAGCAGAAGTTAATCAAGCAATGGGCAAATCAGTTTTAGAAAGTATAGCAACTATAGATTATTCTTGCTCAAGCATAATCTTGGTGCCAATAATTTCTGGTGTGTGCTGCTTTAATGTGTCAGATTTCTCTTATACTATCAATGGCTAAATTGATGATCTGCATAAACTATGATGGGTAATGGTGGCTCATGCCTTTAACCTCAGCACTCAGGAGGCAGACAGGTGGATCTCTGTGAGTTTGAGGCCAGCATGGTCTACAGAGCGAGTTCCAGGTCAGCCAGGGCTGTTACACAGAGAAACCCTGTCTTGAAAAAACAAACAAATGAAAAACCAAAAAAAAAAAAAAAAAAAAAAAAAAAAAGAGAAACAAAATCTCCCAAGTGACCTCTGAATGACTATCACAGTTAAGATAGCTTCTTCCTTTCCTTGGTCCTTTGCTAGCTATTCTTACAATTCTGTTATGCTTGCCCATAATGGCTAGAGTAGCAATGTAGGTATTGCATTCAGTCTTGAACTCTATTATAGCCATAATTTTCTCTTTAAAAAATAAAGAGGGGCTTCATCAGGCATGGAGGTCTCTGTGTTCATAGACATCCAAACAGGTTTGTCCCCTCAGGGGAAGGAATATAAAACCTGTTCTTTGCCCAGAAGGCCGAAGCTTTCTAGCCTGGTGACCTTTGCTCTACCAGATTTTCTGGCCCCAGATCCTCCCCCAGACCCTATCATAAGCATGTTTTTCTCAGTCAATCTACAGAACCCATCTTCATGGACTTCACACAGAGTTTCAGTGGAGTCACATTTGATGTAATTTAGCTTACTTTGTTCCTCAAGGATATGTATGTATGCTTTGTTGTGCATGAGGGATTGAGTTAATCATCACCAGAACAGTTTTCACCAAATTGTGCTGTGGTTAACTATGCCTAAAACAAACCACTTGGGGTCAGACTCCTGAAGTTTGAACCAACACGGGCTGCTGAGTTGTGCTGAGAAGAACTACCTTCTTGCCTCACAAAGTTCATATCTCTGCTGTCCATGAAGGTTGCAACGACACCCGCTCCTCAACTGCAACCTAGTATGAAATTTCAACTATTTGTAAAGCAGAAATAAGGACACAACTAATAAGTTCAAGGCCAGCCCAGTCTACATGGTGAGTTTCAGAGCTACAGAGAGACCCTGTCTCAAAAAGAAAAAAAAAAAAAATCCAGAAGTAAGAATAACAACAATAAACCAAACAAAAACAAAAATAGCCAGGTGAGGGTAATGAATGCCTTTAATCCCAGGACTCAGGAAGACAGAGGCAGGTGGATCTCTGGGAATTTGAGGCTAGGCTGGTCTACAAAGTGAGTTCTAGGACAGTCAAAGCTGTTATACAGAGAAATTCTGTCCCAAAAAACAACCAAACCAAATAAAACCACACCAAATACTACTTCTGTCAAAGGAATCAGCTATGCTAGGAACTGGAGTGATGACTTTTGCAAGAGCCATGTGAACAAATGACCCTTTCCTTAACTCATTTGCCTTGTGTGTCTTTCCTAAGCCAACAGAATTTATTTCTCTATTAGTAACTTAACCAAAAATTTATTTTCCATAGAATTTCTTTCAGCTATTTAAGATATACTTTGACATATTTCAATTAACTACCACCTTAAGTAAAATATCCCAACCTCTAATTTTGAAACTCTTGTTATAGTTAACAAAATATATTTATGGATTTTAATTTGAAATCCTACACAAAACAGAGCATGTAAATGTTCCTGTAAGTCTGTCTGATCTGAATCTAAGAGTGTTAAATAGAATTGAACTATTGATTTTTACTGTACCTTCGTGATAAGCAGGAAATGTTATTTTATCCCACACACCTTGTTAAGAATTCTGCTGGAAAACAGAGACGGTGCCTTCTCACGATGAGCATGAAAATTGAGAGCCATGAGGGCATCAGGTCCAATAGAGAAGTAGTTGTTCATTGTGAATTCCTGCGAGAGAGGAACCGACAATGACTCTACTAGCTGGGCCCACCCATTGGTCAATCTTAGTCTTGCATTCTTCTTGGAAATAGAATACTTTCTGTATTTACTTTTCACAGACTATCATACACTGCCAGTGAAGTTGTGAGCTATTAACTACAGATATGACTCCCACTTCTTTCCATTTCTACTCATCATGCCACATCTCAGACATGGTTCTGCATTTCCTTCTTCCTTCCTCCCTCCCTCCCTCCCTTTGTTGTTTTGAGACAGGGTTTCTATGTGTAACAACAGCCCTGGTTGTCCTGGATCTCACTCTGTAGACCAGGCCTGGCCTTGAACTCAGAGATCCACTTGCCTCTGCCTCCTGACTGCTGGGATAAAAGGCATGCATCATCACCCAGGATCTGCATTTCCTACACAGGCTTTTTTCACTCCTGCGTTCTCATGGTACTTGTTCTGCATCTTTCAGAACTTTCAGGTTCTGTTGGTCTTAAGTCTTTATTCTCTTAGTTTGTACTTTCCCAATTCAGTCTAAATTCTTCAGTTTACATGTCTAGCTATGATCTCTCTCCCAGCCAACAGCACAAATCTCCAGCCTCTTATTCAATAACTCATCCTGCAGTCATTTGAGTGGCCATGCCAAGTAATTCATTTTACTCCAAGCACCAAATTCCTTAATTTTATTTTCTTGGTTAACACCATTTCCATATATCTAATCATAAAAGTTAGAAATCTAGTATCTATGTATTTGCTTTCTTCCTTTTGTGGCCATCAGTTGCCAAGTCTTGATCAGTCTAACTTTAAAATGTCTTTAAACTGAAAATAAAGTTTCCAAATTGTCCTCAAGGCTCCCCTTGTAACTGTGGGCTATGGTCACACTATCTCAAAATATTTTCTTAAAACACAGATTGGGATTGTGGATACCTCAGTGGCAGAATACATGGGCAGCATGTGTGAAGTCCTACCTTTAATGCTCAATAAATAAATATTCTCTGTTATCTCTGTATTGTTTGCTATTTGCTGACATGCCTCACCCGTGTGTGGGAAAATCCTGCACTCTTTTGCTGATCCAAATTAGGCTGACACACCAGGGTGGAACTAAGTGCACTTGGGCAATGTTTTGTTCCAAAGCACATTTTAGAGTCTAGCTTGGGGGCTAGGGATGTGGTTCAGTGGCAGAGGATTCATCTAGCACCTCCCAAAATACAAGCCAACAGAAACAAAACAAAACAAAGAAAACCCCAAAACAACCAAACCTAACAGTTCTGTGAGTAAGGCAGGCACTTGGGTGTTCTGCTTTGTACCCAGCTCCCTTGAGATACCAGACTCTTCATCCTAGCAGCCTGGAATCATAGACACTCTGTGCATTCGCTAAATTGTTTACAACTGAAGCACTAAAAACATACCTTGGGTTTTCTTAAATTGTAGTATCCTTTATTTGTTACCTGCACTTTCCATCTAAAAAAAAGAAGTTAAAAAAAAATCTATATTCTAGGTGAATTGACATATAAAAATTCCAATGCTATTTTAAAGTATTTGAGACAGTACCCACATCTAAGTAAGTGTGCGAATACTGGCATAATTTATAACTGAAGTATTTATAACATCAAGAACAAGACACCAGAATCAATTAATATAGTTTTCATTTAAATTATATGTACTTGTTTTTGGTTTCTCGAGACGTCTCGATGGCCCAGGTTGGCCTCAAATTCATGGCAATTCTCTCCTGCTTCAGTCCCCCAAATGCTGGGATTACAGATACAAGTAACCATGCCTGACCAACTTCACTGAATTTTATAGCTACACAAGTCTTCGTTTGTACAAATAATATCCCTAAGCTCAAATAACAGACTTGCTAGCACAGTGTAACTTACCGGTCTAGTTTGATTCCATCTGCTTCCATTACATTTCTTAAGACCTGTGCAACTGGGATTTCTCCAGCATAGCCTGTACCCCAACCCAGGGTATTGGACAGATCATTGCCTGTTCCCAGAGGTAAGACTGCAACCTGTGGAATGTACTTTTCTTGTCCCTAGAATACAGAAGATGTACTGCAGATTTTTCTCTTTAGATTATCTGTAGTTTAATAGTATTTTGTAAAATTTAAAGAATAAAGCAACAAAGACAAAATTATAACTGTAGGTTGTGTTAAGTACTTAATCATAGTGTTGCATTTCTAATTATCCAAACTGGCTTCATCTTCCCTTTTCGTTCTTTTCAAGGGGTGGTGCTAGGGACTGAACCTACACATGCTAGGCAAGTGCTCTACTACTGAGCTGTATCATTAGCCCATTACAGTAGTTCTTAAGGACAGATACCTTAATCTTCATTTCATCAACTGCATCGAGGACCCAGCCCACAGTCCCGTCCCCTCCACAAACAAGGACTCGAACCGAGCGATAAGGAAGAAGCGTGCATAGCTGCAGGGCTTTGATCGGGGGTGTTTTCGTTACATCAAATACCTAAAAATAAAAGAATAAGAAAGAGATTATGTTTGCCCCGCTGTCCTTCACCTGTGGATGACGGCCTTCTGCATGAACAGAGGCATGGCCGAGCAGCAGGTACTCGCTATTATGTATTTTCCTCTGACAGTTCCTGGAGACTGGACCAGAACTCACTGAGGCTCACCCAGTATTCTGACCTACAAAGGATGAACCAGCATCATTCTACTGACTAGGCCCAGGTGGGCAGACCAGCCTGCCATTCTGCAGAAAGTCTAAGTCTACAACACCATTTGACTCCCTTCAATTCACATCAAACTACAGTGTGCTAGGCTCATCTTTAGCTAGTGTTCTGTACTTTATGCTTTAAAAACAGAACTAGTACCAATTTCTAGAAAATAACTTTGAAAAATACACACTGACCTAAAATGTAAGGACTCTGAATATCTATAAATATTTACTGATACAGGAAAACACTTAAGAGACTACCTTCTGTATATGCGACTTCTGTGGTATATACAGTTAATAGTAATCCAAGTGCAAGGACAATCTCAATTGGACACATATCATCACATATCTGTTAAGTTACTTTAGTCACCAGGTTTGTAATTATGAGGCTATATTCCAAAGGTAGAAAATATTTACATCATCGAGGAAGTGCAAATTTGCATATCTTACTGTTAATGGCACTTTCCCTCATGTGGGCCTGGGTCTGGGGTCTTACATGTTAAGCAATTACTTTATCACTGGGTTACTACAATTTACTACATTTATACTTTCTTTACTTCCTTCCTTTATTTTTTTTCCCTCCAGACAGGGTTTCTCTGTAGCTTTTGAGGCTCTCCAAGAAATTGCTCAGTAGACCAGGATGGCCTCCAACTCACAGAGATCCACATGTTTTTGCCTCCCAAGTGCTGGGATTAAAGGTGAGCACCACCACAGCCTGGCTAAAACATTATATATTTTTTTTACATTTTACATTTACAAAAGGAAAAGCAATTACATTTCTAATTACTGCAAAATGGATCTTTACCTGTTAGCACATTCTCACAACCTTTTTTTTTTTTTTAAAAAATGTGATTTTGAGCTGGGTGGTGGTAGCTCATACCTTTAATCCCAGCACCCTAGGAAGCAGAGGAAGGTGGATCTCTGTGAGTTCGAGGTCTACAGAGCCTGTTCTACAGAGTGAATTGCAGGACAGCCAGGGATGTTACACAGAGAAACCCTGTCTCAAAAAACAAACAAACAAACAAAAATAAAACAAAACAAAAAAACCAAAAAACAAGAAAAAAATTGTGTTTTTGAGAGAGGATCTTAGAGTGAAGACCAGACTGACTTCAAATTTTAAGAGATCTACCTGCTTTTGGCTCCTGTGTACTGGGATTATAGGAGTGTGCCATTACACCTGGATTATATACATTCAATTTTAATGGCATGTCTCTCCCCATTAAAAAAAATAATCAAGTTATAATTTATTCATCAAAAAATTCCTCTCTAAAAATGAAAAAGTAGTTGATTTTAGTTTGTGCAACTACTATCATAATCTAGTTTATAATTTTTTTTTAATGGGATGCTTCGGGTCCCTTTATAGTCACTTGCTATTTCACCAGCTCCAGGCAACCAAAAGGCTATATTCTCTGATCTATTGATTTCTGGATAGGTCACACAAATGCAATTACACAGTATGATTGATCCCATCAGCCTTGATTGATTTAGCAGTGTTTTTTTTAAAGTTCACTTACTACCACATATAGTTTGTTTCTTTCATTCACTGAAAAGTATTCTACTTTATAAATATACAATTTGTTTACCCACTCACCAGCAGACAGAAAATTCAGCTGTGACATTTTTAGGCAATTATGGATAATACTTATTTGCACCCAATATCTGTGCGATATAAGACTTTGTTTCCCTTGAAATGGGATTGCTAGGTGATATGTTTTACTGTATATTTGAAAGGTGCAAGTCTTTTATAGTTATTATTCTTTACTGTGACTAGGTAGTGATTTAAGGCATCAGTAACCATTGCATTTCAGGAGACTTAGAAAGCAAGGTTCTCTTTAGTTACCTGGACTGGATTTAACAGGATCCTAAACTCTCCCAACAGTCCTTCTCCCATGTTCGTCCCACTACGAGAGTTGGCCAGGATTATCAATGGGGTCCACTGCTTTCCAAACTTAGAAGCTAGCTATAAAATAACATGAACAAAAGGGGGTTAATGTCTGAGAGATGGCAAATACGGTAACAGTGCTATAATTTGCTGAAATAACAATTATACCAGCACAATGAACACAATAATGAAAAACAAGCCCAAGAATGGCAGGACCTTATAGCTTGACCTTTCACTCAATGCAGACTTCTTATGTGCCTATGTTTCCACGTAAAAGTGAGACAAGCCGCTCCTTCCCTTCTGCAATTTTGAGACAGAGCCTTGATGGCCCTGGAACTCATCAAGATCAACCCACCCCTGCCACCTAAGTGCTGGGATGAGAGGTGTTGACCATATCCCCACCCAGAGAGGCTATCATTCTTGAAATAAGGTCTCCGGATGGGTCTTGGGACTTGCCAGTTATGGCAGGCTGGCTAGCCTTCCTAAGGCAGGGATTACAGAGATACTACCATGTTCTCAGTCTTTTACAGATGCTGAAAACTGAGTTTAGGACCTCATGCTTGCATGCCAAGTACTTACTGACCAAGCCACTTTCCCAATCTCCACAGTATTCTTCCCATGCCATCCCTTTTTTTTTTTAAATTTACTTAAGTTAATTTTTATTTAAATTAAAACAATCTCATTTTACACACCAATCCCAGTTCCCTCTCCTTCCTATCCTCTCATCCCATCCCACCCCTCACCCACTTCTCAGTGATCATCAAAGTCTGTCACATCATTTGGGGCAGGTCATGTCATCCTTTTCAAGAAATTAAACTTAATCAATTTTTAATATATTTTAAATTTATTTTTATGTGTGTGAATGTTTTGTTTGCATGTAGTATCCTCAGAAGCTGGAGGGTGTCAGATAATCTGGAGGTGGAGTTAGGTGTGAGCTGTTATGTGGTAGCTGGGAACTGAACCTGGGTCCTCTGAAAGAGCAGCCAGTGCTCTTCCTGCCAAGCCATCTCTTCAGCCCCTTTATCATTCTTTAAATAATATTCTCACGAGGCTCTTGGGAACCTGCTTCAGGTAGCTCACAACAACCCAGCAGAAGTCCTTTTGAATATGAGTATCTAAGCATATCCTAACGATTTGCGACGAATACTTGTGGTGTCATGGTAACACCTAAAATTCTGGATTTTCTATGTTGGGTCAGGGATGTTCAACCTTAACATTTATGAGTCTGTTTCCAGTTAATACAGTTCATGTTCTTTTAGCCATTGATAAGAGTGGATTTTGATCTTCTCTGATCTCATTTGTTTTTCTGGATGTATTTCAGAATATATTAGCTTGCAAGCTTTTGCTGTTTGTGATTCCTAGAGAGCTGTCTGCCTCCTGCCCCTGCCTATTAAGTACTATGATCAAAGGCTCTTTTATTATTTTATATGTATGGGTGTTTTGGCTGCATTTATGCCTGTGTACTATATGAAAGTAATGCCCAGAGGCCAGAAGGGGTGTTGGATTCCTTGATACTGGGGTTATAACTGGTTCTGAGTCTCTATGTGGGTGCTGGGAATTGAACCCAGGCCCTCTGAAAGAACAGCTAGTGCTCTTAACTGCTGAGCCATCTCTCCAGCCCCTGGTTCTAGAACTTTCTATATAGACTAAGCTGACCTTAAACTTTTGGTCCTACTGCCTTTACATCCAGTGTGTTACTATTAAAGTTGTTCACTATCATGAGGGTCCTTGGGTAAGGTTTTATGGCTTACCATAGTGAAATTTTAAACCCCTTAACCTTTTATTTACTTAATTCTCAAATATACAGTTTAAGTAAATAAATTTATAAGAAAACAAATTATTACCGCTTCATAATCTGTCTTTTTGGTTTTACGCATCTGGTTAATGGAAGTTAAATAACCTGGTGGGATGATGAGATTTTTGAATTCTCCAAAATCACACTTTTCATTCTTTAAGCTACTTTTCATGCACTCATCATGAACTGTTTTCTGGCACCAAATGCACCTGAGGAAAGAAGAAACAGCTGTCAATTAGTTTTAAACCAATGTTTAAACTAATCCACAAACCACATTTCTGTGAAGAGTTAAAACTGTATCCACACACAAATAAATGTAATAAAACATTGTACAAAAATATACTGCCTATGATCATACTTTTAAAAATGCGTAAATAGGACTGTGGTGGTTGTGCACGCCTTTAATCCCAGCACTTGGGAGGTAGAGGCAGGCAGATCTCTGTGAGTTTAAGGCCAGCCTGGTCTACAGAGCTAGCTAGTTCCAGGTCAGCCAGAGCTGTTAAACAGAAAAGCCCTGTCTCAAAAACAAAAACAAAACAAAACAAAAACAACAACAAAAAAACAAACAAAAATCACAAATAATTTCTCAGGGCAATTTTTTTAGACTAATAAACAGTTCCTTTTCTGCTTTGGAAATAAAGATAGAATGTGTATATTCTGATTTGCCTCTGTATTGGGTACCAGTGCCAAAGACAGGCAGGGAACAGTGTTGGCAAGACTTAGGCTTTCTATTATTAATCTGCTAAGCTATTTAATCCACTCAGATAAGACAGGGCACAAGAGAAGGACAGAATTAACTGATTTAAAAAGAAGGGAATAAACACTTTCCTGGCAGATGTTAACTTTTGGCCTTCTATTTTAAACATTTTTTTTTTCCCCTTTTGGATGTTGAGGTTTGTCAAGTAATTACTGTTTACTCAAGAGTTCTATTGATGGCTAAAAATAGATACCTGTACAATGTGTTAGAGACAATTATAACACAACTTGCTCATGCCATTTATAAATACTGGCTTTTAATACCAGAAACTGTAATAGATGGTTATACTGCTGATGTGAATACATCCATCTACCGATGGCCTAGAGCTAATTACTACTGTATATGTTATTGTTTTTGAGATAAAATGCTGCTATTTGATCCTCTCTGACCTTGATCCTCAGGTTCCAACAAGCCTGGCTTGGGTAATTTCATTCCTCTAATGCTGGAGATGGAACCCAGGACTTGTTCACCATAGTCACATGTTCCATTACCTACTACATCTATCTACATTTCCAGCTCAGCTAACGCTACCCTACTATATTATATTTAGTTTTCCTCATATCCCACCACATTTGTGGGGAAAAGGATCAAATTTCACAGCCAGTTTTTAAACTAGGTAAGACTATAAGATACTGGTTGACTTAACTTCCTGATTTCACACCAGCACAGTTAATCAGATCTGGCATGTAAATTGTCACCACCACAGAGATAAGCCTAAGGGACACATAGTTTCCCATTCTGAAGTGCTGTTCTTGTATCAAACAAACAAGCAAGCAAGCAAGCAAGCAAGCAAGCAAACAACCCCCATTCCTCCCCTCCAAAAAAACAAAAACAAAAACAAAAAACCAAAAACTACAGTGTTGGAAAACAAGGGGAGGAGCTGGGGAGGTGGTTCAGCAATTAAGAACATTTGTTACTCTTGCACAGGACCTGGGTTAGATTCCCAGTAACCACATGGCAGCTCACAAGTATCTGTAATTCTAGTTCCAGGGCCTCTGACATCCTCTTCTGATCTGGGAGCAGCAGACACACATGTGGTACATAGACATACATGAAGGCAGAACATCACATATAAAATAAACCTAACCCCTTGAAGAACTCCCAAACAAAGGCAGGGCCTAGGTTCCACCTCCTGGCACAGATTCACACATGATGGTGGCCTTATAAAAGAGAATAACCTAAAATAGTATATTATTATTGAACATAATCTGCAGGATACCTACTGAAGTATTTCCTAATAACTTCCCCTGGGAAGAAGAGTATCTAGTTTTGTGTGTATATTACTTAAGTTTTTAAAAACTAGGATATATTCCTGAATTTCTTTAATAAAGTTTTTTTTTAAACTTATGCTTGAAAATTTAGAAATGTTAAAAAGGTATAAATAATGCCATCTAGACTCAGTTCTTCTGGAGCACTTATTCCCAGTTTTATAGTGCAAAAAATGTTTTTCAAGTAGGAACATGATCTATATGTCCTAGAGTCTGCATTTCTTGCTAGTTGGTATCATACATATATTCCTAAGCTATATTTTTTAAAAACATGGTTTAGAAAGAAATGTGCATTGTTACATTATATGTAGTTTCATAACTTGTTCAATTTTTTTTTCTGTTAAAACCTTTTCTTTTTAGCCATGCAGTATGGTGCATGCCTTTATTCCTGGTACCTGGGAGGCTGAGGCACTCAGATCTCTGAGTTCTCAGCTAGTCTGGTCTACAGAGCTAGTTCCAGGACAGCCAGGGCTACACAGAGAAATCCTGTCTCAAAACAAAAACAAAACAAAACAAATAAAAAAAAATAAAAAAACAAAAAAACAAAAAACTTTAGGATTTTATATATTCTGGGCTGGCCTCAAACTCCATATCTGGCCAAGGATGACCTTGAACTGTGTATGACCCTCCTGCCTCCAGCTCAGGTGTTGAGATTATAGGTGTGCAGGACCAGAGGAATGCATGTGGTACTGGGAATAGAACATGGGGCTTCATGCATGCTAGGCAGGTATTCTACCAACTAAGTTACATCCCCAGTTCCTAAAAGCATTTAAGTACTATTCATCAGTACCTAAAAACTTGTATTGATAAAAAAAAAAAAAAAGATGCACTATTGTTTTAATTCAGGGGTCTTTGATAACTGGGCAAACTGGCTGTTTTTGCCTCTTTTTTTTTTTTTTTTTTGTGAACTTAGTATCCATTTTTTTCTTCTTTTGAGACAGGGTCTTACCATATAGCTTTGTCCACATCCATCTTTCATTAGTTTTTAAAAACTTTCATATATCTATGTATCTACTACCTATCTTCTAACATATCACTTATGTGTTTGTTAGAGGGGCATAATGTATCACTTACATGTTAGAGGGGCATGTCACAGCACATGTGGAGGTCAGAGGAACACTTTTGAGAGTTTGTTTTCTCCTCCTATCATGTGGGACCTGGAGACTGAACTCAGGCTGTAAGACTTGGTGGCAAGAGTCTACCCAACGAGCCATCCTGATGACCCTTTCATTAGGCTTTTTTGTTGTTGTTTTTGAGACAGGGTTTCTCTGTGGCTTTGGGGGCTGTCCTGGAGCTAGCTCTTGTAGACCAGGCTGGTCTCAAACTCACAGACATCCACCTGCCTCTGCCTCCTGGTCACTGGAATTAAAGGCGAGCACCACCATCACCACCACCTGGCTCATTAGGGGTTTTTATTTTATTTTGTTTTTGTTTTTTCAAGACAGGGTTTCTCTGTAGCTTTGGAGCCTGTCCTGGAACTCACTTTGTACACCAGGCTAGCCTCAAACTCAGAGATCAACCTGTCTCTGCCTCCCAAGTGATGGGATTAAAAGGGTGCGCCTCTTCGGATACTAAGCACATGTGACACACAGATACAGACACAGACAAAAGACCCATATATGTACAATTAAAATAAAATCTTTAAAAAATTAAGTCAGATTTAGGAATATGGTGACTGACCACATGTCTTAGCTTGGTTGTGAATATCTTGATTTAAGCTTATTGCTCTCTTTTCAATGTGTTCCAGTGTGAACAATAAATTCATATATAACAAGAATTTTAGAAAGGCAGTGGTGATACATGCCTTTAATGCAGCTCTTTGAAGGCAGAGGCAGGTGGATCGCTTGAGTTTGAGGCCAGCCTGGTCTATATAGAGCAAATTCCAAGACAGCCAAGGCTACAAAGAAAAACCCTGTCTCAGAAAACAAACAAAAAGTTTTTTTTTTTTTTTTAAAAGAGAGGATGGGAGAGACGGATCAACATTTAAGAATGTATACTGTTCTTGAAAAGCACCCAAGTTGGGTTCCCAACACCCATATTGGGAAGCTTACAGTGTGTGTGTGTGTGTGTGTGTGTGTTCCTATGTTTGTGTCACCCTCTTGTGGTCTCGGTATTCATGTGTACATACCCCCACACACAGACACACAGTAGCTCCAAAGCTAGTACCACCTTTCTGCTCCAGCTCTTGAAAAACGTGTGTGTTGTGACTTTCTATTCATTGGAAATAAATCCTGTTACATAGTGAAAGCCAGACAAGGCTCTGGCTAGGCTAGGTGTTAGAAACCTTGGGAACCAGTCCTATTTTATCCTCAACTTTCCTCGAGTGTTAAAACAAGTGAGAGTAAGCGATCTGCAAGGCATCGTCCCACCAACCTCCAACACAGAAGCCTATTTCAGACAGCATTCCCCAGGCAAATTTCACTCTTCAGTATAGATGCTGAAGCCATAAAAATATCCTCAGTTTAACTCGGGTGACTCATGGGAGACATTAGTCCTGAAGGATCTGACTACAGAAATATTCCTCTCGGGGCTGGCGAGGCCCAACAGCCTGACGACTTGTTAAGAGTCACAGGACTCCATGCAGTGGAAGGGAACTCATTCCACAAAGTTCTGTCTTCTGACCTCCACATACACAACTCTCATAATGTGCACCCCTATCATAAATAAACAGATGGAAAACACAAAGGAAATACTCCTCTTTTTGACTTGTGTGTCAAACACTTCACTATGACACCAAGAGCTGTCTGTGTTAGTGAAAGAAATCCAAAGTGCTGCTTTGGGATGGCCCTTGTTTTCATAGTTCCAAACCAAGAACCAGTTAATTTGTGACTGTCGTAAAGTTATTTTGTGTACCCTTCATTTCCCCTTACATAAAACTGGGTGCTACAGAGCAGCCACAAGAAAGGCAGCCATTAAGAGGTCTTTGATGAAAATTAAGAACCCTGGCAGGGGTGGGAAGGTAGGGGATGGTGGTGGAGTTCGGTTGGCAGAGTGCTTGAGTAATATGTCAGGGTCTTTTGAGCTGGATCCCCAACATCCCATTAACTGGCCTGTAATCTCAGCATGGGGGAGAAGGCAGAAGGATCAAAAGTCTAAGGTCATCCTCTGCTATCCAGTGAGTCTGAGGCCAGCCTGGGCTATAGGAGACTCTGTCTCCAAAACGGGGGGGGGGGGTGAGGAGGACCCAAAACATCTAAAAGGGAACTGCCATGAGCGCCAAGGATGCTTGTGAGTGAGCGGTTTATGCAATTTGCTGCATCTGATTTTAAGTCTCTCGACCCAGAGTTTGCAATCCTGCTCCCCCACAAAGACCATACCTGTAATCGCAGAGCTTAGGCTGGCTGCCACACTGCTGCTTGCAGACGACACAGTAAGAGCACAGGGGCACGTTACCGCGGATCCAGTGGTGAGGCATGGCATCTGCGGCCCGGCTGTCGTTCTTGAGCATGATCTCCTTGCACGGGAAGCGCTTGTCAGCCCTCTTGAGGCAGCCCTCGTCCACGCGGAGCCCGCAGCAGTCGCAGAAGGCTCCCTGGAGGATGTGCTGCGCGCACACGCAGCAGTAGGTGGGGTGGCTGAACAGGTCGGTGTCACGCCAGCCGTGCTTGCTCTTGCGGAAGATGTCCCTGCGATGCAGTTGCCGGCGTGACCGCTGAAGGCTGCACCAGAAGGTGATGAACACCGGCAGCAGCACGGAACACAGCGTCCATAAGACCAAGTGGCCATCGGGAAGCAGGCTCTGTGTAGGCGGACTGGTCCGCCGGTCCCCCTCCATCTTCCCAGGCTGGGGCGTGGCCTAGGGAGCGGCCGCGGCCAGCGGGCTTGCCTTGAGGACTCTCAGCGTGGGTTGCGGCTCGCCTTCGCTGCGCGCGGCCTCGGCCCCCGGATCTCCGCACCCGCGGGCTCCGTCCAGCTCAGGCCAGGCCCGCACCACCGCGCTCACAACGGCCGTCCCTAGGGGCCTCGGGCGCCCGCGCCCCTCTCGCGAGCTCCCTGGAGACCTCGGTCCGCTCGCGCGGCCCCAGGTTCTACCTGCAGCCAAGCCTGCGGTCACCGTGCCACCCTCACGCTGCGAGACCTGCCGGCCTGGGGTTAGGAGGCCGCGCTGACGGCGCGCACCTGCGCAGTCCGCACGCTGGCCCACCACGGCGAGGGGTGGGCGGGGCCTGACGCTCACAAGAGCGTGGGCGGGGTCGGGTAGGACCAGGCCTATGGCGGCACATTCCGCTGGTGGGCGGGGTTAGAGAAAGGCGGGGCCTGCGCGGATGAAGCCCATTTATAAGCGAAAGAGCTGTAGGGCGGGGCCCGCGTCTGCGCTCCCCCCTTGGGTGGGCGTGGCCAGGTATGAGGTCGGGGTCAGATCTGGGGGGCGAGGCGGAGACTGGAGGTGGTCAGGAATGTTAAAGGACTATGGATCTGGAGCATAGGAAAGGATGAGCACCTTGGAAGTTGAGGGAAATAAGAAGGCGGAGTAATATTGAGGATGTTAATGTAGATGGTTGATCGACAAAACCACACGAAGTTCTACCACGAACAGTTTACAGTATTCGATCTTCAGCCTTAGCCACTTCCTCACACGTGGAGGTGGAACTGACATGGTTATGAATGCCATAACCATGGAGAAAACTGTCTCTCTTGGAAGTGTAACGTTCTGAATGACACAAGTAAAAGGTTTCCAAAAGTCACCAGTTCTCTTTCTGTCCATATTACTTATTTACATATCGGTGCTGAGGATGGAACTCAGATAACACCATACTGAGCTATTCTTCTTACTGGCATTATTACACATATGCTGGATGATTGCTAGGTGCCAATTACTATGTGGGAAATTCCAGCTCTCAGAGGGAATCAGGCCTGTAGAAACTCGTCTAACAAGAATTACCAAGGGGTGGTTGGTGGTACCTGTCTTTAATCCCAGCACTGGAGATCAGAGGCAGGCAGATCTCTGAGTCTGGGGCCAGCCTTTGTAGATAGAGTTACTGCCTGCCTGGTCCTGTTGCTGTTTAGTACCAAATAAACACACAGAGGCTTCTATTAATTATAAACTGTTTGGCTGATGGCTCAGGCTTCTTACTGGCTAGTTCTCTCTTAAGTATTAACCCATTTCTATTAAATTATATATTGCCACAAGGCTGTGGCTTACCCATAATGCTCTGGTATGTTACTCCTCCAGTGGCTACATGGCATCTCTCAGGCAACTCCTCTGAGTTCCTCTTTCCAATCTTCTCCTAGTCTGGTAGCCCCGCCTATATGTTCTGCCTGGCTATATCCTACCTGTCTACAGAGTGAGTTCCAGGGTGGCCAGGGCTACACAGAAAATCTCTATCTCGAAGACTCAAAGAAGAACAACAACAACAAAAAAAAAAAAAAAAAAAAAAGGAGAAAAAGAATTATTAAGGGCTGTGGAGAGATAGAGATGGTTCAGAGGTTAAGAGCTCTTCTAGAGGAATTGAATTTGGTTCTCAGCATCAGTGTCTGATAGCAAGCATTACAACTCAAGCTCCTGGGGATCAGACACCTTCTTCTGGCCTTCTCTGAAACCTGAATGTATATGGCACAAAATAAAATAGCTGGGCATGGTGGCCTGCAGAGGAGGAGGGATCTCTGTGAGTTCAGGACCAGCCTGAACTACATAGCAAGATCAACCCTGTCCATAACAGCTTATCACATCCCAGATCCCTTTGTTTTGCTTTGGCCATCCATGAGCCAGTGAGACCATTCTGCAGGAATCAGTTCTCTTCTACCTGTGGGTTCCAAGAATCAAACAGGTTGTCAGGCTTGGCAGTAGGTGCTAGAGAAGGAGCTGACTGAGGCTGCATCTTCTGATGCTCTCTGAAACCCAAGAGAATTAGCCAGCCCCTCCTCTTCCTTATAAGCATCAGGCCTGCACACCTGAAGCCACTCCCATAGGGAGGAGCCACCATCTCGGGTTCACTGGCAAGATGCTACTACATGAAGGGATTAACACTTATGAAAAAGTTTTAATGACCAGTTTCCTGAATGTTTTCTCACCGGGAGCCAGAGGCAGGAGGTTTTCTTCAAGTTTGAGGCCAGTCTAGGCTTCATAGTGATATCAAGACCAGTTTGAACCCTGTCTCAATCAAACAAAAATAGTCCCTCTGGTAAGTCAATATTACCTGATAATTTTGCCTAAATAGGAAAAGTTTCACAGCAACTTCCAGCTCTGAGAAATCTTATTCTATTCCTCCTGTGAGATTGAAGTCAGAGCCTCCTGCATGCTAAGCCTATGCACAACCACTGAACTGCACGCTAGTCCATAACGATTATCACCATAGACAATTGTTGATCACTGTGTAGACACTGCAGATTCACCGTTCTCAGTATATATGCAAAGGAATTTCATTTGGTATTACACAGCTCCAGTCAACTGAATGGGGGCTTTGACCCCCATTTGTCTCATAACAAAGCTAACAAAGCCATGATGCTCTGAACCCAGCTAGATTTTTTTTTTTAATTGAAGGCTACCTAATACCATCTAAAAATTCAGGTTGCCTGGCTCCTGCCTAGGCCCCCTCAATTAAATTGTGGTGGCAATAGGCATCTTCCTTCCCCGCAAGACTTCCAGGTTACTCTTTGATTGATTTATTTAAAATTGATATCTAATTTTGAAATCTCTTGTATATCAGAGTTTAAAACTACGTCTCCAGAAGCTGGAGAGGAATCTCAGAGGAGAAAGTGCCTAGTGTGCATTTAATTCCCAGGATGCACATAAAAAGCTGATTGTTGGGACTGGAGAGATGGTTCAGCAGTTAAAAACGGACTGCTCTTCCAGAGGGACAGTGTAGGGACTTGAGAGAAAGTCCAGGCCCTCTCTCCAGTAAGATAAGACCAAGTGGAAACACTTAGATTAATGGAAATGGGTTAATATTTAAGACAGAGCTGTCCCATAAGAAACACTAGTAACAGGCCGACAGCTTTATATCTAATATACCATCTCTGAGTGTTATTTGGGGTTGATGCAGCTGTGGGACTAGGCTGGCAGGAAAACTGCTTGTAACAAAATGGTGCCTATAACATGGGTACTAAGAACTTCCACTTAAAACTTAACAAAAGCTTAAAAAGGGATTTTAGAAACAAACAAACAAACAAACAAACAAAAAAAAAAAACAGAGACAAGCAAGTCTTCTTGGTAGCAGCATTGTTCTCGGGTGGGCTCTTTTTTGCTTGAGGGCCCTTTAAGGGAGGTTTCCTGACTTGGCATAAGCAAAGGAAAAAAATAAAATAAAACAAAACCACCCAGCTCTTTTTTTTTAAGAGTCCCTGCTAAAAACTGAATGGTGTGTATGAGAGCTTGCAATGGCAGTGACCACATCTCCAAGCCGGCACCATAGACCAAGGCAGTGAGCACAGCTCTTAGTGCAGGCGGTAAACATACCCCCACCATCTGGATAGATGGCTAAAACAGGTATGGCTTTCATTTTAGCAATGTTGTTTAGCAGATAAAAGACTTGTGGCCAGAAGAAGATAAAGATTTATAGAAAGACAGATTTAGATTAAGAAAAACCTCCAAAGGTTTACAGTATGTTTTAAAATATATATATAGGCTTGGGAGAGAAAAAGAAACAGGATAAAGTGGTTTAAAAAAAAAAAACAGAAAGAGAGTATCTGAGTGTGGTGGTGCACACCTTTAATCCCAGCACTCTGGAGGCCGAGGCAAGCATATCTCTGTGATTTCAAAGTGTGCAGAGTGAATTCCAGGGCAGCCAAAGTTACACAGAGAAACCTTGTCTCAATAAATAGAAATAAAAGAAATAGAGTAATAAAAAACACATAAAAATAGAAAAAACACAGAGGATCTGGATACTGAATTCTATTGTATTGTCTTTGAATTGCTCAATTGCTAAGGAAGGAATAACTGCTAAAATACACTTGATTATCAGTGCTGCTCAATTAATCCAATTTATATATTTTTAAAATGCTTTGACTTTAGAATTTAAGTCTAAGGACAGGTTACTGGAGGAAAGGTTTTCTATTTTTGTTTCCACAGAGAATGAAAAGCTATGGATTCCTTCCAGACTAACATGATTTAATCAAGCAAGACCCCCTGAAGCAGTGTCCCAGGTGATCCAACATTCAAAACAGCTGGGACAAGGCAGCCATGCAGATCACTACAGCCAGGATTTCTGTGTCTTCTTAGGATCTCCAAGACAGCGCCCCTTACCAGCAGGATGCAGTTTGGAAAGAATGACGCCCAAATTCCCAAATATTGTCTGTAAATGTTTGTTTTCATTTAAATGGGGTTGGGTATAAATGGTTACTGATCACAACCAATCTCTTTTTAAAGGTAAAAAGGGGATTATGGTATACATATGAATACTTTGTTTTGGAATGGATTTTCATTTATCGATACAAATTTAATGTCAATTTTGTAATGTGTACATTTCTCCTCTTGTTTAGATATTGTGTTTATATAGCTCATTTAAAAATGTAATGTATAATTAAGTACAGATTGTGGATAGTTACCTATAATAGTCAAAACTTATAGTTAAGTTAGTTAGGTTTGCTAGATATACAGAAATATATTTCAAATGAATAGGCATTCTTCAAACCTTTCAAAGACCTACAGAATATGGCATTTAAAATGGTTTAGGAGTTTTCTTAACAGTGAGACATAACTGCTCCTGGCAATACCACCTGCTTCAGAAAGGAAGATGAACATCAAAGGAATTTGTTATGGAGTTTACTTCCAATATGGCAAGACTAGCCATTTGGGTAAGATATTGCTCTTGTCTTGACTTGTCTTGACTGTTTGACTTTATGCTGTATAAACTGGACATGTGGGACCCACAGGAAAGTGACTGCTGATACAAGGTGGGCATTCGCTACAGAGTTTCTGCTTCATGGAAGTGTCTGCCAGACATTCTGCAGGACACAGAGAAAAGTGACTGACAAACTGCCAATACAGGTGGACAGTTTGAAATTTCCTGCTTTGCTGAGAAGTCTGCCAGACACACTATGGTCTATAGGCTGAAGATAGAACATTACAGAAGAACTTTGGATGACTGACCAGGCAAGTTGTCT